TGCTTGTACGAACTGTGCAATTGTAAGCAATGATGTCATACGAGTTCATAGTTCAACGCTCTACTTTACTAAGTGAGTGAGGAGTGTAGAAGAACATGGATAGGCAACTCACATTTGAGAAATTATAGACATAAGAACGATCACTCAGATGAATGTTAAACAAATGAATATAGAAGAGATAAACTATGAACATGAGGTAGATAAGGGATTAACCAAGCTTAGTAACGTACTGTGGGAGCGAGAGAGATCAAAACGTGAACAAAGGCATAAGATATGAAACATATGTATGTCAAATGGGAAGGAATGAAACAAACATCTCAGCTCTGTGAACGCTAGATGATTCAATGTTTCCGTATTCGTCTCGATGTGTGTGGTGTGCTCGGGTAGGGCGCTCGATAAGTTGGTCATTAGGCATGTCATCTGTTTTTGGCATATCCTAGCTGCGCATCCGATTGCTTGGCTCACTTCTAGGTCAACGTAAATGCATCAATCGTGTAATTGAACATTGAATTGTTAAGATCAAAGAGCCGCACGTTGAGGCCAAATAGAGGCTATTCAGTAAAAAAGTCTTTATAGTCATGGCCACACTTACGCTCCGGCAATGTCGCCCGCTTCATCAGTGGTTCACGCTTCACACTGAACCCTACTTCATAGCAGGGATAGGGGCTCGTTATTTATGGTGATAGCATGTGATATTGTGTATCAAGATCATTTTCAATCGATGGATTACGGCTGGTAATATATATATATATATATATATATATATATATATATATATATATATATATATATATATACGTATATATAAATCCAACTCATGGACTGTTTTCAAATCTCGCTATGAACATTCACTATACAACTTGAGAATGTTCGCATCCTTTTCGAGGTTGATACGTAGTAGCCATACGAATATTTGGAGACTGCGAATAATAGACTGAGATTAGTTTGCCAATGAAATCATCCTATAAAAAGATGTTGTCGAAAACGTCAAGAGAAAGAAAAATAAAGAGAAAGAAGGGAAGCATCATCGTTTCTACAAATATAGACGAAATGATGAAACCGCAACAATCTTAGAGCGATAAAGAGAAAATTTGAAGATCGCATCAGATCTAATTGGTAAAGATTTGAACTGAATCCGGAAAGACGAACAAGTCATGTGCACAATAGCCTTATTCAAGTATATGTGCAATGCAATATATTCCTGATCATTGACCCTAAAATTTAGGTCAGTATTGGATTTATTCATAGTAGCATAAACGATGCGCTGTGATAGTGTAGAGATGTTTTGAAAACGATAAGCCCAAACAACTTATGGTGATGACATAATATCATGTGCTATCACCATTAACAACGTCGCCCCATTCCTTCTGTAAAGTAGTGTATAGTGTGGGACGTGAGCCATTGATGAAGCGGGCGACACCGTCGAAACGTACGCATGACTCTGACGTATCAGCCTCGATAAGGTTTCAAACATTTTGAAGATTATATTGAATATTTATAACGAGATTTCAAAACAATCGATGAGATGATTAATGTGATTGCATACAAGGAACAAAAACTAGGAAGACCGACATACGTCAACTAAACAACGGGACGCTTGTGATTCGAGAAGAAAAGGTTTCCTCACAAAATTTCGGCGGTGTAGGCTTCGTCGTTTATCCTTCCCATTACCCATTTCGTCAATTCTCATGTCCTTGTCCTCTCGCGTAGCCATCTTTCGATTCCAATCAAAGCGCGGTAGCAACAACATTATCATCGACTGTTACGCACCGAACAACAGCTGAAGAACACGAATCGCATGCGTTTTATGATCAGTTGAAGGATGCTATCCGCAGGGTCGAAAAACAAATTCGTTGTCGGAGACTTCAATCCCAGAATGGAAAAGGCTAACGAGAGTTAATACGGGACTGGAAAAGCTGCTCTAGGAGAAGGAAACGGAAATGTAAAACGTTTCGCAGGACTGCTGACTTCAGCACGTCTTTTACACCGAAAAAACATTTTCCAGGAGAATGAACAACGCCGTTGGACATGGAAGTCACCTAACGGAGTGATGCATGCGGAAATCGACCATTTACTCAAAAACATATGATGGTGCCCACTTGACACATCTGTAGTCCCACATTCGGCTCCGAATCTGATTGCCGCCTTCTTGGTCAAAGATGCGATTCAATCGTAAGCTGGAAAAAAATTCATGTCATTCGCCAAAAAGAAATCGCTAAAGCTGTTTACAGTGGAAACATTTCATGCGAAATCCATCATATCTAACTATGACTGGCACATAAGGATGATCCGACCAAGAATAACGAACTGCTTGTTGAAGATCTCAAGAATTGTGCCAACTTAGCTTCATTTTTTCAATCCACAAGATCCGGTCGCATCTTTCCACCACAAAAGACCTACTCGAGAAGAGATGGAAGCTGAGGCTTGTTGCTAATGCACACATTTAGCACCGGCAATACTGAATACACAGAAGAACTTTGCATGAGGATCTACATCGATACCGCCCGAAGATACTGTTGGGAGCAGCACAAAAAAGATTCGGTCTGGAGAAGTACCGTCGGAATCTGTGCGATTATAGTGCCCCGCTGCTAGCGTTGGTGGACGAAAATGAGATCGCGAGAAAATCTCGCCATGATATGGTAATGATAAGGGAAAAAATTCTACACCAATCTTTTCGGTTCCACCATCCTCATCTCGGACCCCGTAATGCCCACTGGATTAGAACCACCCGGAATTCTGCCCTCTGAAGTTAGAGTCGCGATAGGAAGCATGGAAAAAGGCACGACTCCAAGTCCTGATAACATTCCTTCCGATTTGCTGCAAAGCCGGAGGTCATGATTTACTTGTACTCGGCTCATATGACATCTTACCTTTAGAAGGAAAAAAATTTCAGACTAGTGGAGGACGGCGCCCACAGCCATCATCCATAAAAAGGTGACCGAAGAGATTTTCGCAACTATAGTCCAATCTGCTTGGTAAGCACCATGTTTTACAAGCTTTATACAAAGATCATCCTACTGCGCATATCAAGAACTCTGGATAAGGCACAAAGGATTCTGCTGCATCGACCACATCCAAACTGTGTCGAGAGCCATGGAAGTCTATCGGGAATATCACCTGCCTTAATCTTGACTTTCTTCGACTATGAAAAAACATTTGATAGCGTTGAAACGAACGCAGACATATAAGGGCTTGTCGACTAAAGAGTGGATCCGTTCCACATAAGAACTTTATGAGACTGCTATCGCAACTGTGCCACGCAAATGCAGCTTTTTCATCGACCTCTTAGCATACCCTTTGGAAAAGGAGTTCTACAAAGCGCTACGATATCGCCAAAGCTGTTTACCGCCGCACTGCAGTGGACAATGAAGTCACTTGATTGGACGAGAAGGGCATACGCATCGATAAAAAATTCCTATCAAACCTTCCGTTCGCGACTGACATTGTTAAATTTTCAGAAAACACTAGTGAAACAGAAGCGGTGCCCAAGGCTGTCAACGAAAAGGAAAGAAGTTCGGACTACGCATAATTCGTATGAAGAATCATTCCATGTAAAACCAAGGATACAATGAAGAACTACTCGAGCTGAGTGGTTCACCAATTACAGAGATCACATCTTACGTGTGCTTTGGGTTTTCATTGAAACGGGGAACAACATGAAGGAGGAAGACTATGGAAGAAGGAAAGCAGCATGGGCCGCATTTGAATCTCGTTTGGCCCTTTCAAAAAAAGCCATCGACAAGATAACGTATCCAAACTACGCGCTGAACTCTTCGATTCGACAGCCCTTTCAACGCTCTGCTATGCAGCAGAGACGTGGACTAATACTTCGACCACGTCAGAACTACTGCGAACAACTCACAGAGCGCTTGAGCGATATCTTTCAAGATTCAGTTGGCACTCACAGTATATAGCCGGCTTGCTCAGCTCAGATCTCCGAAACCTTCATAATTTAAAAGAATTTACGTAGATAGCAAAGCACAGATGGACCGGTCATACCTTTTACAGTAAGAAGATTAGACGACAGATTGACGAAAAGAACTGCAGAGTGAACGTCACGTGAATACACCCGTCCAAAGGGCGACTGTCTACCTACACATTGAGCGGACGTGTTCGCAAGAAGATTTAACAGCTGCAAGCAGAATTAAGCTCACAGCTGCCGATATTCTACACATCACGGTATAAAATTCGTGTCTGCCGCCATGCTCGAATTTAATTACCACCATGGAAGATTATAGCAAGAAGAAACAAATGGAAAATGGTGCTTTTGTCTGCACAATTCGTGAACATGGAATGTCCATGTATCCAAGTATCCAAGAAACGCATTTCGTCATATTCATCACCAGCCGTAAGGCATCGACTGAAAGAAGTGCTGATAGCACAATTTCATGTTTTGTTTATATTTTAGGGAACTAAGTGGTGAGCAAAAACACGGCCTCAGGAGGGAATCGAAGCCGCGTTTCATTCATGCAGGGGGACAAAATCGTGTACTGGGGTTTATAAATCGAAGTGGCATACCCGACCAAACCTGTTGAAGGTTGGTGGTGACAGCTAACATAGAGATGTTGAAGAATAAATGGTGGCGCATATGTGCCTCTGTGGTGCAGTGGTAGAGCACACATCCTCGGCATGGATGGAACGCGAGTTCGATTCCCGTCTGAGGCCGTGTTTTTGCTCAACACTCAATTCTCTTAGGTATATACGAAACATCATAACACTGCGAAATGCAGTAAAAATACTAGAAACTTTGGACGATATGTGCTATTACCATACAACGTCCCCCATCCTTGCTATGAAGTAGGGTTCAGTGTGGGGCATGAGCCACTCATGAGCGGGCGACACGGCCGATACGTACGTATGACTCCCGACGTATCAATATCGGAAAGGCTATGCACATCTCACAGACAATAAACTTATACAACTAGTCGTTATATAGTTGACTGCACAGCGTCCAGTTACGACAGAAATTATGAAAGCAATTATTATAAGAGATTATTCATTGGAGCTGAAAGAGTCAAAAATGACCTTGAAACAGAGTACCACTCTAATTGTCCATTTATGGCAGGCGTTGCTAGAAATCCTTACAAGTTAGCAAATATAGCTGGACTTTTCAATTATTTTTTGAATCAAATTATCAATGTGAAAACTGAATCACCTATATCATTTGTGGTCCTGTTAATTAAGTAATCCTTGTGAATTAGTAAATCCTTTCTTCATGTTCATTACATACTAAGTTTCTGCAAATTTAAATTGTATAGAGAGCATCACATTCTGGTATGCACCCGTTTCTTTTAGCATTTTTTGTGAAGCAGTAGTGAGCTCTACCGGTTCTGATATGTATCAGTTCACGGCCTGCTGAGCTTCACCTTGACTTTCGTAGTTCTGGTAGATGATGAGCTCAAAAACAAAAGCCATAAGGCATCGAAGGAATAAAAATGGCTAAAGGTAATAATATCTACGAGTTCCTACTGTGTACCAGTTGACACGTCAGGAAAAATTAAGCATGTTGTGCTTTCAAGAGCATAATAATATGTTATCATTCTTCATTCGCTAAAAAGTTTGATTATTATGTCATCTGAGTTACTCTCTGGAGCGAACGCATATAGACGACAATCATTCATGGATCACATTAAGATGACATAATACTTCAACATACGCTTACGTCGTACTGTGGAAATGAGAATCGTCTGCTAAGCGTTTGAAAGGAATGGGTACTCTGGCGTAATCCAGTTGATATAAATAATAATATGGGAACGAGAATATCGTGGTTACTGCGGTAAGCTTAAGTATTTTCAAGATCCTGTTGACATGTTCGGATTCAAAAAAGTCATTCTAATCACTAAAAGGAAAAAAATGCCGAATGTTACTAGGTCACTTCAGCATGGCTGGAATACCGTATAGATCGACAGCGATACGGGCGCTACTTCAATCATGCAGTAATACACTCTACTCAGTTCGCTTCGATGCGACGAATACGAAAATCTAAATCGGAAAAACTACTGCTGTAGATTCTCATTATCATCTCAACTGAGATGTATTGTTACTCAAAATAAAGTGATCCTGTTCTTGCTCAAAATACTGCGCAGTTTATTGAGCAAAATTTAACGTAAATTATAATGGTTCTGATGAGGGAGATACCACCAAAACGTTAGCCCAAACAATAAAGGATCATATAAAAACTTTGTTTCACCTGATCCATAGGCACAGAGGACAAAAGAAGTGCAGAAATGATTCCTTTTTGAGAATAATAACTTCTACTTAATAGATGTGTGGTTTTTGCAGAAGCCACTAAGTGTGTTTATTGCTTAAAATACTGCACAATTTATTGTTACGACCTCGGCAATCATTGAGATCTAACAGAAAGTTTGTGAATTACACGCGAAATAAAGATACGTTTTCATTTCACTCCGTTATTTTTGTTTTTTCTTCTTTGACTTCCTGTTCCATGCTAAGTCATTTTTATTTCAAAACGAGATAAACCGATTGAAAAACAAGGTCATGACGACATTTATCCTGTAACTCTACATCACTTATAAAAATTATAGCATTTGAACTTGTTTCCTTAAGCTTATGAGGTGGATGTGGATAAAAAAAATATGTGCTAAGTTGATGGCAAATTTCCGATTCAAATCAACATTTTATTTTGCGAGCAGCTATCCTTCATATGCATAAGTTATTAATAGTGTACCGTAGTCCCATTGGGCATTCGTCTTATGGAAGTGCTGAATAGATCACGTATCACAATGTTTCAAGAGCGAATGAGCGCAAACACTTGAATCGAATGCAATTAACTCATTCACAATCAAACAAGGATAGCCACACTCATAGCGAAAGCCGTCCATATTTGCAAGTACTAGTATGTTTTATGAATGATTACAAAAGTACGTATCAGTTGTAAACAGGTGAAATTTGTCTTAAGGAAATAGATTCTACTTTCGCCCGAATCGAACATATTGACTTTTTCTTTTATCTGGAAAGTCGACTGGAACAGCACGACCAAATCGTACGAATGCTGACTTTCTCTTCTCAGGCAACTGAAACATGATCGTTTTATGTGAGATTTTAGAGCTGAAAAGAAATGAATTAATTCGTTTCCTTCAATGGTACTGTGTCGGACTTCTGGATTGGTTTTTTTGGTAATGGATAAATAGTTATGTTGTATTTACGGGAATCTGGTCAACACTTCCTGATCCTTATGGATAAATGCCACTCTTGAAAGGCATATTCTAATCATTGTACCTTTATATTATCTTATTCCATAGTAATTCGTGCAATGGTTTACCTTTCCAGCTACTACAGTAAACAATTCCCTTCAGATAGGTAAGCTCTATGGCGCATCAACGCTTTCGAGACCATAGTGGAAATCGCCACTCGCAGTGCTATTCGGACCAGATGCGCGATTTTGTTATTTTATTGGGATATTCTTCCTGATTCTGAAATCATTCTAGGTTTCTTATAGTACATCGATATTCAACGACTTTCTCCACACGTCCGTGTGCTTTTGGTGCAACTCTTTTGTATAGTTAGAAGCTTCCTCTCATTGCGCAATTGCGACTTTGCTAGCGCCCTGCCAATTGTAATATTGTGCACGAAGTAAATATTATGATATAAATCAATTAAATTTGATATATTTTATTATAAACATTACTCCGAAGATACCACAGCAATTGGTAGCCACAAAATGAATAGTTCGTCAAAAATGATGTCGCGCATTTGAAGCAATGTCACATTTTGGATAACGAATCGTGAAAACCCTTTTGGGACCAGAATTTCTTTCGGTGGAAAAAGCTTTCTTCCATGGCTTTTAGTGATCATTCGATACCTTGGACTTCGATGATTACGATATCTTACGCGGCCTTTAGAAAAAGATTGTAGCGCGTTGTAACAGCAAAAACAAAATGATGTTCCAAACTCGGCTTCTTTGTTAGCTTGATTCAGGTCTGTGGATTTCCATTGAATTAGGGCTTTCCATTCAAAATTCTGTAGCTGTTTGAAATGAAACCAATTTTTTGTTGCAAAAACGTTTTCTAAGCGTGCCGTAAGAGCAAAAAGAAACTACGTTTTATTCGCAGAGTTTCTTCGGCACATAAAATATATATACATATACGTATACATATATATATCTATATATATATATATAAACGTATATAGACATATATACATATATATTTATATAGATATATATGTATATATAAACATGTACATATATATATAATATAAATTTATATATATATATATATATATATATCAGAAGCGTATGACCATGTAAAGGCAAACGTGTCATACCAGAATATCGAAATAAATCTAAAAACAAATGAGGAAAATCACTCTCCATCTGGTGGTGCTGTGCGCAGCGATTATCGTTTCATGCATATTGGCTTTTCATTCTGATTTTACATAAAGAATAAACACGAGTTGAATCTCAAACTAATGGCTAACTACTCTTAGTGCAAAACATAATTTTTTTTTGTTCTTACAGCGCTCTATGAAGACTTTTCTGAATTCGTTCAAAGATTCAATATTATATAAATTTATTCTCTCGAAAAAGTTAATTAATTATTATTTGGTATCTATGAAAAGACAAGCACAGATGCCAGCGCCATTGATTATAGATATTGAAGATAAAACTCAATTTTCTTCTTGTCGATACTACAGATTAAAAAAGGTAGTATTTAACTCCAGTGAAAGCAATCTGTCTGGCGAGAAAGCCAAACAAACACGAGTTCCAAACACACCATACACTCCTGAGACAAATCGTAAAGTTTTATTCGTTGTTCGAGCTCCAAAAAAGCCCTTCCAAAAAACAGTCCAAGTATTTGCATCGCAAATTTTTCAACTATTGAATGGCACTTGAATCCTTGCGTAAACCTGTGCCCGACAAGAAAATCACTAATCACGGTTGCTACACTTGATCTCGAAAAGGGATGGCGAAACGTAATTCCACTTCGTCGTTACTGCAGCGCAATATAAGTTTTTGTTCGAAAATGAAGTGGACAAGTAGAATTGCCGCTTCTCAAGCTTTTGGACGACTACGAAAACTTTGTATGGTGAGAAAGCCAACTAAACACAAATGCAAAGTACACTGTAAACTCCGAAGAAATAATTTTTTTCTTTGTTGCTACAGCTCACTACGAAAGGTTTTTAAAAATCAAACATAGAATTGGAACCACAATCTTTTCAGCTACAGAAATACTACTAGAACTTTAGTGAGGAAGCTTTGCCTGGAGCCAACCAAACACGAGTCTAACTCTATACATTCCGAAAAAGAACGTAATTTTTTCTTGTTGTTACAGCCTGCTAGAGAAGCGCTTCCACAAATCAAACATTGTAATACCGCGATTCTTTCAGCTATCGATTGATTACTTAGAGTCAACTGAAAAACCTGTGCTCGATGAAGAAATTACGAAAACGTCTCGATGGTTGATCTAGCTTTAAAATCTTACTGAAGTCAAGGGCTCCTAGTATTCTCTGCACAAGTTCTTGTTATTATAGCCTCAATATACGACGATAATAACCTTTTTTTCGGAGAATGATGTATAGTCTGTAGTATAGTCTTTGTTAGATTAAAATAAAACCTTTTTTTTATAGTCAAAACCAAAAGCTCGACGTGAACCGATTTCCACTAATGCATGTCCGAAAAATTATACCGTCCAGCTCGAAACTAC